CAGCAGAGACAGCGACGCACCATCCATGCGGGCACCACCTGCCACTGTGTTCTGCAGAGCCCGCTTCTAGCCTTCAAGTTCAAGAACCGCTCTGTAGCTTTCCTCTTCCCGTGGAGAGCACCACGTGGTTTCTCCCTCCAGGCTAGCCTCCTGGGAACGATTCTATTTCTAGCCCACGGACTGGAGAAGATTCTACTTCTAGCCCACGGACTGGAGAAGAGCACAGCTGTGCAAAACATGTCTGTGGTGGTGTTTGGTCAACATGAAAACAACCAGAATGTGACGTGGAAAAGTCAGACAATTATAAGTCTCAGTGTAAAGACTCTTCAGGTCCCAGTGCTCCTTTCCAGATTCTCATCTCATAGAAGAGGTGTTCATTCTAGGTTTGAGTCCTTCTTGGGTGACTTCAAGCAAATCTGAGCCTTGATTTCTTCATCTATGGAACGGGAAGAACAATGTGATTTTGACAGCACTATCTCGCGAGCACAGTGAGCATTGCCTGTGGGTCTACACAGCATTCTTCTTTGTTCCTGGCATGCCTCCCCCCCCACCCCTGCTGAGAAATGCTCATTTTCCTGTCCTGTGGCTGTGATAGGAGCCACCACATCTATGTAGAATCCCCCCTTGGGCACAGCTGACAAGTCAAGTAGTCAGCTCAAGACAATTTAGTTCAGTTTTGCTGCTAAATGACCTTCCTTCAAATTAATTTTTTTATAAATTCCCTTCAGATTGCAAGGGCTCTTTGGATTTTGGAATTGTGAAGAATGGATTGTGGAATTGTAGCTACTTGGATCTGGGCATATTTGGATCCTACATGTCTATCTTCTGTGTTGGACTGTGGATTATTTGAGGGCCGGGGTGAACCCCACCCCCAGGGGTCCCATAGTCACCTCGATTCTGCATGTCTAAACATGCATCCAAGTGAGAAGTGAGAACTGTGAAGTGGGGGGTGTGAAGGGTCAGGGTGACATGGAGCTACAAGGTGACCCTGACAACCGCTCCTCCCCTGTGCCTCCCCGGTCTCCTCTGACATCCCACCCGGAAGTCTGAGCACCTTGTAGCCCCCGCCCCACCGTACCCTTCCACATCAGCACATCTCCAAGTCCTGCTGCTCTCGCTTCCTAGACAGCTCTTGAATTTGTCCCTCTTCTCCATCCCTTCCCAGCTTGCCATCATTATCTCCTGCTTGGATTGTGGTAAGAGACTCTTAAACGGTCTTATTCTTCTAGGTTCACCCCTCTCCCATCCCCATGTCTTACTAGCCCTGCTAAAGTGACTGACTGGTGATGCCAATCTGAGCATATCACTGCTGGGTACAATCTTCCCATGGCTTCCTGTTGCTCACAGGATCAAAGCCGAGCTGCATGTGCAGTGTGGATCAGGCTCGGCTCCCTGCACACACCTTGCTGTTTCGTGCTTATGCACTTTATCATGCTGGCAGCTCACAGGATCAAAGCCGAGCTGCATGTGCAGTGTGGATCAGGCTCGGCTCCCTGCACACATTGCTGTTTTGTGCTTATGCACTTTATCATGCTGGCGCCCTGACTCTGCTCAGCATAGCCGCTCTGGGTTTCCCCGCCTTTCACACCCATCTCAAACTTTACCTCCTGGAGAAGGCTTCTCTGGATTGGGAGAGGGGGGTCCCATGACACCTATCAGTCTGTTTATACACCTGTATCACTCAAATTATGATTTTGCATTGAAAATATCTCCTTTATTCATATCTATCATATTTACCTTTGTATCTTTAGTTCTTAGTACATGACTGGAACTTAGTAGATGCTTAAGAAATACGGAATGTGAAAAAGATTCAGACACATCTGGGCTCATCTGGAAAATGGGTGAGGTGGACCTGCCAGAAGTCTGTCTGCATGGAGGTTGAGAGACCCTGGGAAACAGCCACTGATGGGATTCAGAATGTGACCTTGTTACTGCAGATGTAACTAGTTAAGTTTAGATGAGTCATACTGGAGTGGGGTGGCACAGTAAGACTGGCACAGGCGGGGTACCCTGCACAGCACAGACCTCCCGTGGGGAATAGCCTGTCTGAGTTCTCAGTCGATTGCCATGCATCCTTCTTGTCAGCTGGATCCCTGCTTGCAAATGTGGTGTTAGATGTCGGAAGAAATTGTGTGTTGATTGTGTGCGTGTGTGCATGTGTATATGAGAGAGAGAGAGAGAGAGATACATGGATGGAATGACTGAGCATGTATCTCTGATGGCTGTCCAAACATAATAGCCAGTATTTTCAGATTGCCTTGAAAAGTGCAGTGTTTCAGAATCATTGCCAGGGAGATTTTGAATTTTTATTAAGAAAAACAGGAAACGAGAGGATTATAAAACCCAAGAAAGAAATCTGACATTTTGAGGCCAGTGACTGACTCTCCTTGATGTCCTAACAAGGGCCATCAGGTATCCTGTGTTTGGGTTTAAACAGGTCCCTCCTGATGAGGTAACATTCCCCCAGGGATCTCTGGAATGACCTGAGGGCTGAGCTGTAGCTCACATTTGAATTCCACCATCGCCCTCTGCTGGCTCTCAGCGGCCCAGCCAGAGGTTTTGCAGCTAAATCCTTCCCCTTCCACTAATGAGAAAAAACAAATCTTCTAATCCACCGTGTCTAGGTAGAATTCTTCTCTCCCATCCCCAAGTGTATTTTTGTTTTCTATCTCTCCCTTTGCCCAGTTAGCATGCTTATTGAAGTTATGAGAGGCCATCACTATCAGTAGGAAAAAGGGTTATTTTTTGTGTAGATGCTGCAAATTGAGGAACTGTTTCCTATTAATGCTAAGACTTCAAGCCTCTTCCTATGATATTGTCAAGTAAGGACATGCCCATGGCCCACAGGGTAGAGTGAGGGGAAATGCTACGGTCTCAGGTGGGGATGCTGCAGCCTGTGGTGTCTCAAGGGGAGGAGCTGGGGGCGGGGGAAGAAAGAGGCAAGAGACAGTAAGATTTTTACGATCCCATTTTAGAAGGACTTGCATGATCGGGGAAGCAATTCTTTGAGAAAAGTCAAGAAATGTTTTGTCCAATCATTCTGATCTCTGATCAATTACCAGGAAGATTGTACCCTTTTGGGGGAACAGACTCTACCTGAATGGCCCTCCAGACATTGTGGGGCATCAGTAAGGGCCCTTAACGACGCTCTGTTGGAGCTGGATCCCCTGTGAACACATCTGCCCTGAACCAACTCCTTTGTATATCACTAAAGCTGCTTGTGTGGGGAAGCTCTCTCTGTAGAACTGTTCATATTTAGAATATTTGGGTTTGGACTATTAGCTTATCTAGAAATCAGGCCATCTCACTACAGTCTCTTCTACTCTCTCCTCAAAAATAAAATTAACTGCAGGGTGATGGGGCAGAACAGTGGTTAGAAACATGGACTGTAGCATCACACTGGCTAGACTGCAATCCCAGACCTTTCTCTTACTGGCTCTGTGACGTGGGCAAGCTATAGAACTGCATTTTGCTCAGTTTCCTAGTTTATAAAATGGGGATGGAAATGGTACTTACTGTGTGAGGTTGTTGTGGGGGTTAAATGAGAGAACACACACAAACATCTAGAACAGTTCCTGGACACAGTAAGCACTCAGTAGTGACTGTCTGCCAAATCTTCTAATCCACCGCTGTAGGCTGGCTGCCCCTGACCTCACAGAAGCTTAAATCCCCACTGTAACTGTTGAGGGTGGGAAATCCTATTATGGTAATGAAAGGTGGGGGCCTTGAAGAGGTGATTATATTGCAGGACTGTGCCATAATAAATGGATTAAAATTGGCGGTCATGGGCGTGGTTGGGAGGGCTTTAAAATGAGAGTGAGTGAGGAAGTCAGTCTCTCTGCTCTCTCGGCTTCCACCATCTCGCAATGTGAGGGGTCACTGTCACCACCACCAGATGTGTTCTTTGGACTTTGGGCTTTCCAGCCTCAGAAACTATAAGCAATAAATTTTATTTTCTTATAAATTACCCAGTTCCGTGTATTTTATCATAAGCAACAGAGACGACCAACACAGTCATCACCATCATCCACATCGTCATTACTCTACGAACAACATTTAAGAGGCTGAAAATGTGTCCCCACAATCCACCATCCCATTTTGATGTGACTGCACGTGTTCTTGAGAGTGAAAAGAGATACGTCTGGGTGACAGCACAACTGTTCCCCCACATCCAGTTCATGTCCTCTGCGGACATGGAAGATTCCTGCCTGGAACGCAGGCAGGGCTGCGTGAGCAGTTCTGGTTCATGAAATGTGACTGGATGTGATTTATGTTACCAGTTCCGGGCTGAGATAGTTAAAAGCTCAAACATAATTCTCCAGTTTCTTTTCCTTTGTCACAGCAACCCAGAAGGTCACACATTCTAGAAGTTGCAGCTACAAGGTCACGGAGCATCTGCTGGCTGGGATCTCCAGTGAGTGTGTGGAGCAGAGCTGCACTGACTCTTATTCCATGAGCAGCACGAAGAAGAGACAAACTTTCATGGTTGAAGTCACTGAGATTCAGGAGCTGTGACCATAGCACAGCTGAGCCCACTGGTTCTCGGTGTGGTCCTAAGTGAGCACCCGGGGAACACCAGAAGTGCAAATTCTCAGGGTGCACCCCACGCGTACTGCATCAGAGCCTGCGGGTGGGACCAGCAACGTGGGGGTTAACAACCCCCCCAGTGACTGTGCTGCAGCTCATTTGAGAAGCGCTGCTCTCGCCAATGCTGATGAAAGCGGTGGAAAGGACGGAGGTGAGATCCCGCTCTCTCAGCTGCCAGTTACAACAGTTTGGGAATGATCTGTTCTGATTTACTCCTTTCCATTGGCAGAAATACTTCAGCACTGACTACCTCTGAATGTTTAACAACAAACATACGATAAACATACCTGAAGTCAAAAAGTCCGCCTGGAAATAAGTCAGCTGTTCCTTTAAGAAGGTGAGTGTTTTTCAGTTCTCCTCAGGGGTGTCTGAGCCACTCTGTTTATTGCATTCGTTCTCACTCTTTCCCTTTAGCCCCTCTTTACCCCAGGGAAGAAAGCGTCTGACCATCCCTATTTCAACGTGGAGGACAGTGGGGTTCCCGGTGGACACACTGTTTACCCACAGCCTGGAGACGGAGCTCTGCACCGTACACAGCCCCGTGCTGAGCCTCGCACAGGCAGACGCGCGGTACATGGCTGCAGAAAAGGAAGACACAAAGACATTCGCTGGCCCAACATGTTGCTTAGCTGTCTGAGCTTAGCTGGGTCTCAGTCTGGTGCTCATGGCTGTGCCTGGGTGGCTCCCGCCAGAACGAAGCGGGGGAGGACACAGCAAAGGAGAGGCACGGGAGGGACAAAGCAAAGGCTGGGTGGAAAGAGTCTGATCCAGCCCTTCGTGAGCCCATCTCCAGGCAGAGCTGTCCCAAGAGAAGTGACAGTCTGTGATCAGCAGAGGGCAGTACTGCTTTAACAGATGCTTTGATGACCACGTGGTGACAAGGACCGCTTGCTCACCGATGCTTAGGTGATGCTGGTGGGATGGACTGAGGTCCGAGAGTCTGGACCGTTTGAAGAATAAAAACAGCAAAAAAGATGAGCACTTACATACCCGGCATCTCTACTGGGCATTTCCTGTATAATTCTTTCACTTTTTCTGTCTGAAAATGGTGTAATAAGATGTTGGGAGAATGAAGAGGCTGGAGCCCTGCTGCTGGGAGCCACCATCTGGGCCACAGCTGGGGCCATCGGAGGCAGTGGCATTCGTCCTCATCGAGCATCTATTTGTGACATTCATGACATTCTTGATGCTCAGAGATGCGCCCCAAGTGTCTCCCTGCCTCACGTGCTCTCTTTCTGGGCCTGCCTTTTCGCCCTCTCCCGGCTCCCTCATGCTCTCTTGCCTACCCCCATATCTAGGCTGAGGCTATGTGGATGGCTGCTGGGTCAGCAGGGCCAGGTGCTGGGCACAGAGGGGAAGGTTGAATGACACAGCAGACTCTGTCCCTTAAGAGTTTATAGTCTTGGAAAGACAAATCCACGGAAGCCAAACATAGAGGAGAAAGGCAGGGGAACATTTAAATCATGATCTCTGGGTCATGGGAGAAACTTTGGCGAAAGGCTCTGCAGTTCTTCGGGACTTCTTTATCATGAGGAGTCTAAAATGCACCTTTTCCTTGTCTCCAAATGTCCTGCAAGGTTTTCCAAGATTAGAGCCCATCCCCACACCCAAGAGACAAAGGGGCTGATTCCTTGATTTAGCTGTGTGAGGGCAGCTCAGCTCACCCTGGAAGTCCCAGATAACTTTTTGTGGCATTACTGTAATCCATTTTTTCACCGACCCAAAGGATTCCAAGGCTGTGTGACCCAAGGGTGAGCTAGAATTGGGTCCGGCCTCCTAGGACCACTCTAGCTGGAGGCAGGTCTCAGCCAGGTACTAAGTCAGCCAGGCTGCATGTCCCCAGGCACTAGCTCAGCCTTCTGAGAAGGAAGCCGTTTCCTCCTGTTGTACTGGGAGGGGCCAGGGTGCCCCATCTGGAACTGGGTGTTGGGAGGTGAGAGGCACCAGGAGCAGTCAAGGCTACACTGGCATTAGGAGACTAATGAGCCTTTTTGAATAACAAATGTAGCTTCAGCCAACTGTTGGCAATTAGTTGGAACAAAGCCATGCTGTGCTCCAGATCTGTCAGCTGGGCCCTCCGAAGCAGCACTACAGCATGGAGAGCTAGAACGGAAAGGAAAGAGTGGAAATCCCACCTTCCCCATCCTCGGCAGTGCTGCATGTCTGTAGTGACCTGAGCTAAGCCTTCTCATAGCCATATCAACCTGACATCACATCAAGAGACATATAAGGCAACGAGGGGCCTTATAGGGTCATCTTGTCTACCACCCTGCCTCCACTCAGGACCACGCAGCAGTGCCTCTCCAAGTTTAATCTGTATATGGGTCACCTCCAGTCCTTGCCCCCAGGTGATGGCTGATGCTGCGGGTCCAGGGACCACTTTGAAAGGC